GTGACCTTTTTTGGGCTCTGTGGTGTTCATGGTGCGGCACCGTTGTGGCCCATTTTTTCCACGCAATTCCTTTACTCTATTACTTTTATGCCATTGGGTTCTGTTGTATTTTCCGTTCCTTATGGACGTTTTTTCTTAGGCCATTTTTAATTGCTTATTTTGTTATGTTTTTGTTGTCGTCTATACCTTATCTGTTGAACAACCTGTAATTGTACTTGTGGGCAGTAGCATGTGCAGAAATGTGGAACCAATTGGTTAGTTTTTGATGTTGCCTTTTCTTTTGATGAAGGATAGCAATAACTGTTGGGTGTTTTGGGTGCGCCGTGTGTACAGGCAAAGAGTTTTCCTACTTCACATATCTTGGTTGTGGCAGGCCCATTTTTTTCGGCATGCATGAATTGCGGTCGATGCGAGTTACCTCAAAACAATTTAACTGCTTTTGTATACATGTATATGTGTGTGGCCCATTTTCGGTAACATCACGGAAAAAATTGTGCCAAAGGTAATGAAACTGTGAAAAGAGGAATTTGCAAACAATCAGTTGGGCAGCGTAGAACAAAATGTCCGGTACAAACACACAACATCAGATGGCACCAAATATGGGTGTTTATAAATTTAACTTTATACAACATATGGTGTTTTATAAAATTAACTGCACAAGATAGTTGTTGACAATATTTAGTTGATTCTACCGCACTGCTATTAGTGGGTTGGATAACTAAGAACTTTAAACGTTCTCAAACAAGCAAGTGCCGCAAAAATGAAACACATTGGCTGTCAAATAATGGCCATCTATCACATATTGTTTGGCGCTACGTTAAGTCAACAATAATTATTAGTAAAGAATTATCAGCCCACTTTTCAAACTTCGACCAATTATGGTTCGACCTATGCAGCCAAGGGTCGAAAAAACTTGGTGGTGAAAAGTAATAAGTGTGCGTGCGGAAATTCTAAACAATTATGTTTCAACCTATATGCTGAAAATATGTCGTCGAGATATTATAGGTGTTTTTACGTTTATGTAAATTGGTCTTAAGATATTATAGGTGTTTGCACATTAGCGTACATTTTGAGTGTGTATTATTTTAGGATACATGAAGATAAATGTGTATGCTTAAAAATGTATATTGGTCACGATTTTCTTTTAGGCAGGTGCCGCATATATAAATTTTTGTGTGTACAATTGTTTGGTTATTTATTTGGCTGCTGCCTAATTTAGTCACGATAATTATGAATGAACTTATAGCCATCGTTTAATTGGACTTCAATAAACCTGTCCCAAGCACTATGTTCGTCTAACATTAGCTGATAGTTTGTGAGTAGGCAAATAATGTACGCTGCCTTGCGCAGGCGCCATCGTCACTGAAAATCCGGCCAAGGATTACGGGATGGCCACATTGTACGACAAATCTTTTACCCGCATCTCATCGGTGATTTCCCATTATTGCGGTCGTGCTCTTTGGGAATTAGAGTTGTACGGATCTTCCCGATTTTATGCAAGAGAATGGCAGTTTGAAGGCTCCTGCACGCAAGAAAAATGAAATTCAAGTGGCCCAAATGAGGCGGCAGTCCAGAATGCGAAATGTTTGGTTGACTAAATCTGCGTGTGGTTATTTTTTTTGTGGTATGCACGTCTCCGATTTTCTATTCTGATTTTTTTTTCCTCTCACAGAGGTCTTAATAATTGGGTGAAAAGGTGATATGACTGCCTACATTATGATTACAGTTTTGGATTGAGGAACGCAAATTTAGTGTGGAAGTAAGGTGGGTAGAAAAAGCCAGATCTTTGGGGCATGGGTGGTCTGTACTACACAGCAGTGGCACCTTTTTCCTGCTCTTAAACATTGTTGTGCTTCAATTTGCGCCCTATATATAGTGGGCCAGTATGATCCAACACTCACACAACAAAATCCAAACAAGAAAAACTTGGTAGAAAAATAGCATCTTACATTTTTCGCAATACGATGTATTTCCATATTTCCAAAAACAAAAACCTAGACATGTTAATAAAAAAAGAATCAAATTAGTTTGGTTTTCACTATACCTTAGTATTTCTTTTGTCTTACTTATGAATTCCAGATTCTTGTTTTTTCTAAAAAAAAAAATTGATGTGCTCATTCGTTGGTTCATGTTTGTTGAAATTCTTAGGCGACAATGAAGAATACCATGCAAATTGCGCAGATTGACGAAAATGTGAGAGGGTGGACAACATTGATTCAAGTTAAGCGAAGTGGCATACTTGTTAGTCACAGGGATACTTCAATTTCTTACCGTAGGTTTACGTTTGTGGACTCTGAGGTAATATACATCATGCATGATGTAGGGCTCAATTTGGTTTATAGATCATTTCTGCTGTAACATCTTATCTTTGAGTTAACATTGGTGTGTGTTATTTTTCAGGGCACAAGAGTTCAGGCAGTGGCGTATAACAATAATATTCGGGAAGATTCGCCTATGCTGCAGCTCTATAAGAGGTACTATATCTCCGGGGCTACCTTAAAGAAGGCAGACCCGAAATACATGCTTGGCTCTTATGAGTTCACATGGACAATCACCAACCGCACTTTGATTCAACCTTCTGAGGATGACCTGCCGGACCAACTTGACTTCAGCATTGAGTGTCAAAACTTTGGGAATTTGCATAGATTTGTGGACACTGAAGATCTGCAGAGTATGTAGTCTCACATTTTATAAATTATGCATTGTTAAAATGTTTGGTGATGCTGTCTCTACCGCATTTGTACTCACAATTAAGTGATAATATGTTGTGGTGCAGCTGTTCAAGGTGTCGTGGTGCACGCCTTTGAACTCAAAGACATTGGAATTGACGCGGTAAACAGAGACGTTGTGTTGGTCAATGAAGAGTGAGTCTTATCCAAACTTATATATCGTAAGTGGTTTTTTTTTTTCCTGTCGTGCCGTCACCGACAAAACTTCTCTGGTTGTAGGATGATGCCAATGATACTTACTCTGTGGAATGCCTTTGCTGAGAACGAAGGCTCGCAGCTAGCTCAAACCATTAACGCGGGAAATGTTGTTGTGGCTATGCGAGTCAAGGTGACGACGTTCCATGGCCTTTCGTTGTCCACTAGAGCAGCCAGTTCTATTCTGATCAATCCACCGACCCCCGATACTGCCACTCTAAAACAGTGGTGGGTAATTCGAAAATATACCTGTAATATAGCACCCATTGGACCGCTCTAAAATTTAACAATTGTTGCTAATTAATGCAGGTACTTGCAAAACAAACCAATTGTGTCGGACCTCATTGCAAGTGAAGCATACAAAGACACTGAAATTTTGCTGCCGCCACCAAGGGATGAGGACATCAAGACCATTGCCACACTTCTCAACCCTAATAAGAAGGTGCATATTGTGATTTCCAAAAATATTGTTGTGTATGCTTCATCCTGACATTATTTTTTCGGTTTCCACGACATAGATTCAAACTGCATGGGTCCAAGGTTCAGTTGCTCTGGGCTATATACAACAGCCATTGTGGTTTGGCGCATGCATGCTTTGCTTGAAAAAGTTCGACCTGCCCGTCACCTCTGAAATAAGGTGCAGCTCTTGCAACAGGGACAGCCAGATAGTGGCGAGGTATTGCAACTTCCCATACCCTGCAGGAAAAAGAAAAATTATTTTGCCCAGCGAAAAATAATACACACCTATTTATTGCAGGGCTAGGATCCCAATAACCATTGAAGATGCAACTGGAACCATTGCAGCTGCTGTCTATGGGCAAGACGGTGAAAAGCTTATCAGCCATACTGCAGCACAGCTTGAGGATGCGGATGCACAGGTAATTAGAAATACTAAAAAGGCTTTAATATGAGAATTATTATCCATGGTCATATTTTATCTTTGTTGACCACATGGTGAGGATAGATAATTGTGGTGCACTTTATCCTGAACCAAAATGAATTTAAATGTGCAGGGCATGGATTTATTGGCGAAGTTTGGGGCCGAGATGAAGGGGGCTCGTGTGGTGGCTTTTGTCCGGTCTTTTCAGGCAAATGGCACAGCCTACTCCGTCGTCAAGTTATATGTGGATGCTGAATTGCCAGACTACATACTCCCGGTTTCAGACGAATGCATAACCCAGGAATCACCACTTAAGGCTCAGGTTATGGATTTTTTGCTGTGTACCTATAACAAAGGCGTAAATTTCATGGCAGAAATTGAAATGAGTGTTTTCCCTGTAAAATATAGGCTTCGGAAGAGACAGAACTACAGGCGCCAAATCCTGAGGCGTACATTAAGGCAGTGGTTGGTGAAACTGTGGGCAAAGATGCTGATCTTGCATGTGAGCCGCTCATTGGGCGTGCCCTCGACTTCAAAGCTGATACGCCTGCCATGAAGAATGTGGATGATCTGCAGCACGGCGAGTGCAGCGGCTCTTATCCTACAAAGAAAGTTATCACTGAGCAGCACATCGTGGGTGCCGTTGTCAAGAAACCACGCACAAGCAAGTGATTGGCCATCAGTCAGGCGCCAAAGTTTACTACTCTATTTTGTATTATGCTATGCACATAGTTGGCAAGTATGCTTAGCAATCTTTTGTGATAACCTTTTGTTGTGTGGGGGATATTATTCTAGAACCAACTAAGCACCTTCGTACTGGGGTGTTTACCAGATTCTAGAATGTGACCCCACTCCTTGAATGGTAGCCATCGGTCTCTCCGCATTCAAGGCTCTTTTGTTATATTAATGGTTTGCTCCTCTTTTGGTTATTTGTGCTGCCAGGGCCCATTTTGTAAAAAACGTACTAAGTCTTTGGAACAATGTTGGTGCAATGAAACTGCTATTCCCTGTTAAGACAAACTGTGTGGATACAATGATTTTTTTCTTTTTTTTTTTCCGTTCACATTTTCTCCTACCATTTTTCCAAACATACTAAAACTACTGAAAACACAGCACCTTCGACTTTAAAACAAAATCTAAATTGTACAATTATTGTTCTGATGGTTTTCATGATATATAGACTAGGACTTTTTATTGTTTGATGGTTGGCTTTCTTGAGATGTGAAAATGAAACTTGGTTATTCAGGTGTTAAAAAACTTGAATTTCTTTCATCAAAGACTACTATCCAGTTCATTAGGGTACTTCAGTTCTCATTATTTTGCTAAAAAGAAAAGCGATTGTAAAGATGGTTTATACCTTGACTAGCAAGTGAAATATTATGAATACTTACACCTCATCGGACGAATTAACAGAAGTATTTGCTTGTTCAATTTTGTTTTTACCTGCCTTGCATTTATTTATGTTGTTCTACACTTATGGTGGTTTGCTCGGCAGTCAATATTTCAGCTTAAAATTCCAAAAATAGTATTTCTTTGATCCTTTATATTGATTATTTTGTTTAATTGTTTTTGGTTCTGGAAAAGAGATTACTTTGAAGTTTCTAATAGTTTTGAACATGTATTATATATGTGATAAGAGTATGGCCATGGATTGTTTATGTGATTGTGGGTGCTTTTCTTCTCCTCTGTTTCATAATAATATGAAAGAAGTTGAGTGCTGCTTAAAAAGAACAATTTGAAAACTAAAAAGTTAATCAAAATGATGTAACGAAATGGTCTGGTATGATTTATTGGTTAATTCTTTATTTTGTACTTATTTATATCATTATGTATAATTTATTTATTTTTAAAAACTTATTTTCATATTTTCTAAATTTCGGCTCTTTGCTTCTAACTAACAATCACATGAATTTAGATTGGTTATATGTTAGCGATTATCTGTTATAGTTCATGATATGAGAGGGTTTTAGTTACTATATTGCTTCAAATCTATTAATATTGTGTACAGAGGAAATTTGTGCTCAATAATTTTTTTCTGCTCTTTTTGGCTCATTTTCATTTTATTGCGTACTTTTCCTCTATTCGATTTATTTGACTACATATTTGTAGATCCTGGCGCAACACACCTTGGTTTTACAAGTGGAGCTCATATTATGGCCATAGAAATAAATGTAATCTTATCAAGTTATTTTAACTTGTAATTTGAATTGAAGTATAATATAATTCATAGACCACCTAAAATTATTTTTGACCTGGCAACCATGACAGTATTGGCCCTTTACTTGTGAATTCAAGATTTATTCTCCTTGAATTTTCTTTTTCTATCCTTTGATGCAGTTACACAGTGGAAATCAAATTCTAAATGCTCATCCATCATATTTATCAGTTTTGAACTCTGAAGGTTCAAGAAAAAGTCACAATTCATAGAATGCTTGGTTATATTGGACAAATCTCACGTTGACCTCATTCAATCTGAAAAATATTATATCATGCTTTTTGCGTTTTAAATTTGAGTTTTTTTTTCATCGCCAAGATGTTTTAGGATTTTATAATTACTTTTTCCCTTTGTCAAAATAATTCAGGATAAAAAATAAGTTTACTGTATTTTAGTTGTTGGTGTTCTTTTTGCAAAAGAATGATGCCCGAAAATTTGGCGAATCCATCGAGCTATTCTGCACACACTGGTGTTTGTCGAGCGTGCCTCACATATGGAACAAAGTTGTTCAACTTTGGTGAAAAAGGGGCTCGCGAGGAAACAAGCACATATTGGTTTTAATCATATGTGCAGGCTGGTTTTGTTTATGAAGATCGTTTTTTTCCTACATTTTCTTCTTGTTTATGGTATCTTTTTGTTTTCCTTTGATTTTTTTATAAGATTTGAGATGAAGATTACTAAGGTTAGTGGTAGTGGGTGATGAAAGTCACTGTCCTTACAATTTCATGCGATACTTTAAAAATAAATAAATGTTTTAATTTTTTGGAAAAATCTTCAGAATCTGATTCATTAATTCACTTTTAGCAAGAACATCATTTACAAACATTTAACATTTTTATTACACTCCAAATTGTGTGAGAACTATAACTTGATTTAGGTGAATTCAACCAGTATAATTTTGAATAACAAACTGTAAAAGGGGAAAAAAAAAAAGAATAAGTTGAGGCTTCAATGATTGAACAAGCTGAATTAGCAGGGAGATTAGACAGTAAAAGTTTGTACAAAAGTTACATTGTAAAATTACGAAATCTGAAACACAGTTCAACTAGGAAAAAAAGAAAAGAACAAAAAAAATAAAATAAAATAAACATCACATTTTATTGTGTTATTGTCAATACGAGGTCACATATGATTAATCAGAAGTTGAATGTACTGCATGAAATTAAAATCTCACATTTGGCAGCTAGAACTCCACTGTCGAAAAAGGTGACCCGGGTTAGAAGTGTTACCAGAAAAAAACAAAAGAAATAGCTAAATTGTAGCGGTAAGTGCTATGAGCAAACACGAGCTCGCTGACTCTCACGTCCCTGCACAAAGGAAAACGACGATTTTTCATCCCTCTCAGCCAAACACCGTTTGTACGGAACAAAACCTTTCCCTCTTCTCCTGTCCGACAAATTTCTCGACTCAACCAGATGATGAAAAGGTCTTTATATCTATGTTTGGTTGTAACTATTGTAAAATTGAACTCCTATAATGGCTGCCATCTGTGGATGTACTCCAACTTCATATAATAATATATGATTAAGAACCATAGTTTCTTAATACATACATGGATGTCGTGTCTGATATATGGAAATGCTCATGATTAATACTCTAAATGCCATGTTCAGTTAACACATGCTAAAATATATTGCCACTTCATTTTTCTTGATACATGTTATTCTCGGATACAAGAGGCCTTGTAGTCAATGATGAAAGTCACTGTCCTTAATCTAAATTTAACTTTTTCTTCAAATAGCCGGCCCAAATTGCTCTTCCTCATATTTGTTCAAATATCCGGCCCAAATTGCTACCTCATTCTACAACACCAAAATAAAAACAGATCTAAAAAATTGAGATATGCATCAATTCCTAAAATTAGAGTCATTATCCCTAATTTAATTAAACTCTTAAACTTAAGACGTATTGAGGATTTTACAGACTGGCTACATAACTAGGTATTCAATAAAACAAATCTAAAAAATATTTCATACATTCGTTTCTTTATTTTTTTCTTCAATTTAACATGAAAATTTAGTGGGCGTCTATGCTCTTTTACGTTTCCAAGTATGGCCAAATTTTCGATCAAGAGCAATACGGTGATGATGATGCACATTCCTGTGGAACCCACGCGACTGTACCGCGTCTTCCGAGTGCACGATAGGCCGCGCTTGGTGAGTTTTCATAAGTTAGGTCTTTCACTTTTTTTTCAAGTTTGGTAGGATTCTACGTGATTTGAGGATACAAATAATAGATTTCCATCTTGCACAGTACAAGAGATTTAACAATTACTTGTCATCCTTCGTAAACAATTGCGTGCGAGCTAAACATGGGTGTGGATTTGGTGATTTATTGCAGCCTAATTTTAGGTTTATACACAGGGCCACGTCAGTCCAGCAGTTTCTAATCATTTCAAACATTGTCACAAGTACAGTTTTTAGGATTCTCGGGAAAACCAAAGAATGGCTCTCTACGTATGGTTGTTGCAGAGGACTCAACTTCTTCAAGTATGGTTTTGGTCTGCTTTAGTTGGTATTGTAATTTTATTAAAAAAACAAACATCATGCTGACACTTGCATTTCACCTCACTCTCTATAGATACTCAACACCCGTACTCCGCCACTTACACAAACGGTTCGAACAAAAAAAAGGAAAACAAAGGTACGTTATTTGTGGGATCTTACTTTCCTCCAACCATCTTCTTTTTTTATTGAACTTCTAAGTTGCATGCTAACTGCCCGAAGACTCTGATGGTGTTTTTGGCGTTATTGAACCAATAATGCATACAACAAGGTGAAATGCACACACAAGACAATTAAATAACATGTCACCCCAATATGTTTTTGGTGCTGAACATGTGTGCTTGAACCAATTGCATATTCCCTTATGCCCCATAACAGACAATTTTGCAGTCACCCCAATTGAATATTTCTAATTTTCTATCCATTTTGACCAATTCAAAATCATGTTGAAAACAAATTTGGATTTTTTTTATTATTATTTGTTCAGCTGCCCGGAGCTTTGTAACTCTTACATTGATGTTTCTGAAGTGTTATCACCTCCTGGAAATATTGTCATATTTCATCTGCAGGTATCTATGGAATTTTGGCGAAAGTGTTAAAGTCTTGAAAGTATCAAGTTATATAATTGTATTGACTTTTTCTGGACTGCATCTTTGTGATGACCTGTTTTAATCAATTTCCATACTATTATTTTTAATGAGTTCTTATGTAGAACAATATTTTTTTATGTGTTGTATTTTAGTCTTGATAATGAGTGTTATTACGGTGACAAGTGGTACTTGCAAAAACAGAGTGAAAATGCGACTTAAAATACCTATATGTGGTTCTACTCTTTGCATACAAGTGTGCATTCCTAACATTTTTGAGATAACTCAAACTCTTCAATTATATGAAGATAAAAACTCTTCAATGACCCATGTTCAACAAACTTTTATAATCTTACATCTGTTGTTGTTAGGTGACAATGAAGGAAAGTATTCCAATTGCTCAGATTGACGAAGGACTTACTAAATGGACAGCGTTGATTCAGGTTGTCGAGAGGAGCTGCGTAATGGTCAATGAGGGAGATCCAACTATCGCATATCGCCGCTTTGTATTTGTCGACTCAGATGTTAGATGCATTTTAATTACTATGCTTTTTGCGATCATTTTTTCAGAATTTGATATATTGATAATCTTGGCATGGTTGGAAAAAAATGTTATTTATGCAGGGTACAAAGGTATCAGCGGTCGCGTGTGACGATAATATTACGCCATCTTCACCGCTTTTAATGCCTTTCAAAAAGTACTATGTGTCTGGGGCCACACTAAAAAAAGCAGATGAAACATGCAAAATTGGCCCTTATGAGTTTACATGGACCATCAATAACAACACTTCCATTGACCCCTGTGAGGATGAATCGGTGGACCAAATGTTCTGCCTCATAGAGTGCCAGAAGTTTACTAATCTACATCGGTTTGTAGACACTGAAGATTTGCAGAGTACGTCATCTTGCTTAACTAAAATGAATATGCTACCCAACAAATTTTAATGCTAAATTATACCCGGCCATTGTTGTGCATATTTGAATTCTCAATTTTACCTGTATAGACATTCAGGGTGTGGTCGCATGCGCATTTGAGGTGAAGCGAATTGGATCGGAAACTATGAGTAGGGACATTGTGTTGGTTAATGATGAGTAAGCTCTAATTTGCCTGCACGTGTTATTTTATTTTGCAAAAAAAAAACATATTTGGTTGGCTTACAAGAATTGTATATATATAGGAGGGTTCCAATGATACTCACTCTATGGAATGATTATGCTAAACATGAAGGTCACCAGTTGGCTAACACCATTGATGCAGGGAATGTTATTCTTGCTATGCGGGTTAAAGTTACAACATTACATGGTAAAATTAAACATGTCTCAATTGCTATTTTTGAATGAAGTGTAAAATTCAACACCATTTCTGTCACCTGCTATTTTGACTTATCCTATTCATTCTGGTAGCATTCTTTCAGAAGAATTTATTCGTGCATCATCGTGTGATGCTGGAAATATGGTTACATCAGTTCAGTGCTTGCCTTAACCTTGAATTGAAGAAATAATGAAGTATGCTATCCAAATTTTGTAAATTAGTATTTAATCTCTATTTTTGTTATCCTTCTTCAGATGCGAGTGGAATATTTCGATGTCGGGCATGAACAATTGTTAGATGTACATGGCTTTTAATAAACGTTCTTAGTTTTAGTTTAGAATGTCATGCATTGGAAATTACAAATTTTAATATATATAAAAGCATAATATTTTATACTGTGAGTATGTATTTTGTTCCAATAGTATGTGTTAATTATTGTAACTATTTTTTATAATAAGAGGTTAATGGAAGTACTTATACACGTTGGATATCTACTTTTATTATAATGGATTATTTTCTTATTAAATTATGTTGATGAGGTAGATGGGAAAAAAGGTAAAGTTGAATTTGCCTATAATTATGCATTTTCTTTCTAAATATGATTATTGCCCGAGCGCCTGAGTCCCTCTTTATTTGTAAGCAATTTGCTATTCACTATAAACAGGACTTTCGTTATCAACTAGAAGTACAAGTTGTGTTCTCAACAATCCACCAACACCAGAGGCTGCCTGCCTCAAGCAATGGTCAGTCATTTTAAAATTCACTCGCTTAATTATAGGCAATACATACATAACGTATTAATACCTGTAAACAACTAACGCAGGTACCTACAGAACAAGCCAATTGTTGTAGACCTCATTGCAACTGAAGCTTACAAAAATACTTCTGTCTTATTACCACCGCCACACCCTAAAGACATCAATGTGCAAACACTTATCTGTCCTAAAAATAAGGTATTCAGGTTATATAAAGAAAAAAAATTATGAAAAGCAGGCCCCAGCATGCCTAATTTATCTTATTGTTTAGCACTCACCATATCACTTAATATGCCCAATAGATTCAAACAGCATGGATAGAGGGTTCAGTGGTTCTTGGCTATGTGCAACAACCGCTGTGGTTTGGAGCATGCATGCATTGTCTAAAAAAATTGGAACTGCCAGTCAACACTGAAATTCGTTGCAGTTCTTGCAACAGAGACAGCCAAATATTGGCAAGGTACTAACAACTTATATGCACGCATTTTTCAATTATTAAACAATATGACACACACGTTGGAACTCATACATGCCCCACCACATTATTGCAGGGCTAGGATTCCAATTACAATTCAGGATGGAACCGGTTCTATTGACGCTGTGGCTTATGGGCAAGACGCCGAAAAACTCATTAGAAATATGCAGCTGCAGTATGCAAATGAACAGGTGAATTTCATAGCTTAAAAGTTGTTACAAGTTATATAAACTGTTTGGTTGACACAGAATGAACTTCTAACAGGCCGAAAGCTTAATGCAAAACATAGGGAAAAAGATCAATGGGGCGCATGTTGTCTGTTTCGTGAGGTCATTTCAGGCGAATGGAATACCAAACTTTGTGGTGAAGCTTTATGTAGATGACGATCTGCCTGATTACATATTGGTTGTTCCAGATGAGTACGTGACGGAAGAATGGACGGCAAATACCCAGGTCACAGAAATTACATGAAACCTGTTAAATAGACAATGAAGCTTTTGAAGAACCAAAAATACTGATTGTTATTCTCATGTCTGCTGTAGCTTGATAGGGAGGAGATACAAACCGCAAAACCGAAATCATATATCCTGGCGCTTGCTGCACAAACTATGGCCAAAGATGGTGCTCTTGCAGCAAGGCCACTTGCTAGGCGTTCACTCAACTTCAAGGCTGATGACAATATACTCAACAATGTGGAACATTTCAGTGGCGATGAAGGCAGCGGAATACATCTGCCAAGAAAAAAAAACGGCCATGAAGAAATTATCAACAGCACAGTGAAGAAACCGCGTACTGCCAAATGATCTGTCACATTGGGCGGCAAACTTTACTAACATATTTTTGTCTGATGAGGTACCAGCTATTTTGTATCGCGCGTACCTGTCTATTTTGTACCGCAAAGTCTACTTAATCCGCCGCCATCATGGTGCACCTTTTGTCATCACCTTTCGTATGTGTATTTTAATCATCTTTATATTGTCGTGCTTAAAAGATGATAAAATGAACCAAAGTTGCTAACCCAAGTACTGAAGGATTATTTTCTTTTTTACCAGATATGTACTGTCTAGGACTATGTACCGATTGCTGGCCTCTTTTGTTGTAATTATAACTAATGTTTGGAACTGCTGTACCAGAATACAAATTCTTCGCTACATATGGCAACATTAATTGAATTTTCAGATCTCCAATTCCACATACTTCAATAATATTGGAAAAGAGATTAAATGAACAATAGGTTCTGCTTTTATACTTAAAATAAATAGCAATAAATCTGCATAATCTTTGTACTTAATGATTGCATGTCCACTCAAAAATATTGGAAAATAAAAAAAAGTTTTACAGTATTCACTTTCAAAGTCATTATGGGGACAGACATTAGAGATATCTTAACCATGCGCAAGATCATAATCAGATTACTCGAACCAAAAATTGTTTCAAAATATCACAAATGTCGTTTTTCATTAACAAAAAAAATGAGAAATATACTATATTGCCATGGCTCTATTAAGTTCTTAAAACACAAAATCTATATTTCTGGCTCCATTCAAAATATTTTTATTTTTACGTCAATTTTTTTTAATCAAATTATTACAATTCTATATTCTATTTTCCAGAAAAGACAGTTGGGTCATCTTCCATAAACTTGCTTTCGTGCAGGTCACAACTGTTTTTATTCTTTTTTTGCACTATCTCCCACACACGCAACCAATCGTACAATGAAAAAACAGATAAAGTAAGAAAATAAAAATTGGTTTAAAATATTTACAAACCTCTTGGCCAGTATTCGAAATATTTTAACTTTTAAATCATCTTTTTTTAATTAAACTATTACAATTCTATACTCTATTTTACACAAGCGACGGTTAGGTCACCTTCTATAAGCTTACTTTTGTATAGATAACAGCTGTTATATTCTTCCTCGCACTATCTCCCACACACGCAACAATTCGTACGATCAAAAAACAGATAAAGTAAGAGGAGTCTTGTGCTATTATTGCCGTTATTTTCTACACCAAAAGATAATTACAGATCTCCACAACTCTTCTTATTCACCAATCAGCTTCCCTACGACGAAGACGACGCAGGTTACCTCCCAATCGACATCTCACTGCTTCGCTACAGGTCAAGTTCGGGTTCTGATTCCTTCCATCCCAGATTTAAACTTTCGTTTATTGCATAGAGCATGTAGGTTTAGTTTCTTACAAATTGAACCTTTTATCTAACAATATTGGCACCTGCTTGGCTAAATTAACACAATGAGAGCCTTCGATAGAATCATTACTTTTCCAAGCCAATTAGTTTATAATCCCATCAAAGGAGAGGGTAAACAAAACAATTTAGAATACTTTAGGCATTATATAAACTTTGTCTTCTGTACCCTCTGGTTCTCTCTTAACAGGGACCAAGAAAACTTGCGGACGTCTTTCGCAAGTTTTTTATGCCCACTGCGATGTAAATGTCCGCCTGCCCATTTTTTGCCTATGGGATTCATGTATGCTCATTATTTTTCGTATCGTTGTACCTGGCAGGATTGTTCTTTTTCAGGCCGGCAATGTTCAAATTGCAAGAATGTTTCTGAAGAAAATGTCAATTCACACGGGATTTTCGACTTGCCCCTTGATCTAACACTTGCCATTTCATACCTGCCATTGTTTCACAACAATTGCCAAGTGTTCGATGCCAAGTGTTCGATCAGGGGGCAACTCGACATTATTTTCCGCAAATGTTATTCGGCAATGTTGACCTCAAAGAAGGAAACTTTACGCAAATGCCATGAAAGTACCTTCGTGCAAGTCCCTATTTCAATTTTTAACTTTAATGCCTTTAATCATCAATTAACGAAAATATACATTAATGAATTTCTGTTGAAAATTCATGTTCAAACATATGTTGAGTGAATGCCTTTCCACACCTCAAAGATTCACAAGTGTACTTTGTCAATTTGTATGGCTATCCTGCTTTGCTTCACTCTTTAGATAAACTAACAGAACTGCAGTCTGGCTTGTCACAACTCGGATATGACAATATCAGGGTATTTAGGACGGAAATAATTCTTTTCCTCGGATACTTTTCCGCAACTCATCTCGAAGGATTTGCTATTGCCTTAAGCACATTGCGTGTTTTACTTATGCCTGAGCCACTATTCAAACACAGGATTTGAGTGGCGCATTTCATGACGGGTAAGCTGACCAAAACATTAAACAAAAAAACATATTACATTTGGTTCAACATGTAATATGGGCTTTAGGTGATATAACATACACAGTGGGAAGAGAGACTCAATGGGGGTCTTTTATGAAACTTTGAATCACAATTGGGGTCTTTTATCATTAGACTAAATTTGAAATATAACATTTGTGTTGGTTTCTTTCAAAGATTTATTAATCTTCTATGATTGCTTAGTATTGTTATTATGCAACTTTTCTTTTAGCTATCATCCACTGGTGGTGGCAGGCTTATAGTCCAAGTGATGGTGTTTGGGAAGCTTTATCTGCCGAAATAGCTTTCGAGTGCTGTCGAGGAATGCCAGCTGATGTTGCAGGTTCACAGATTGTCAATGTAACATTTTTTTTACATTATTTTAACTTGTTTCTGCTTCTCCTTTTCATTTCATTTTTACTTCGTAATTTATATTTTTTTTTTGTTTCTTGCAGGAAGCTGTGCAGGTTAAGGGTCTTCGAGATCACGACATGACGTGTATTGTTGTGGATATCGAATGTGATTATTTCTGTAAGAATGTGATATTTCTGAGAATGTGATTATTGTTCCTTTCATATACATGGTTGGATTAATTTTTCTGGTAGAATGTGATTATTTTTTACAATAAACAATTTCCATCAACTTTACTTTACATCCTGCAGTTTTTTAAGAATGCATTTTCTTTTTGCGCTTTGTATTGATGATTAAATGTCATTGCACGAGTTGTCATTGAGTCTCTCTTCCCACTGTGAGTTCTCATACCATTTTATGTTGTGCAATCAGTGTTATATTGTTTCACAATCTCTCTTTCTTTATTATTGTTGACTGTATGTTATGTCAACAGGTAAATCAAATATAGCTCACCTCTTACTGTCTTGCTTCACCAAAGGATTTCATGGTTGTCCATAATATGGGCTGCCATCCAAAATCGGTACGTGTTTGTGCTTTCATGATCATCTCGACACTTTTATTGGGTGGTTTCATTTGTGTATGGACAGCATTTCTAGGCGAACTCCATTCTTTTGTTTATTGCTAATGGAAGCTGATAATTTGGTTCATGTTTTAAACATATGTTAATGTATAAACAAATATGATGTTGAGAAGAGAGTAATCTGACTTCTGATTGCCTGAAAATTTGTGATGGGTGGTTAATTTAGGTACATTAACAATTCTAAATTTAAAGCAGATGGTATCTATAGTAATCCCTTGAATCACATTAATGCAGAGAAATGTCGTTAATTATGCTGTTCTTAGGATGTCGTTGCAACTTATTATTTGTAGTTAATCAAAATTTTCTCTAACACTTCCAATTCTAACAAACTTCAACTTTGGCGAAGTATTATATAAGTATTATATGCGTATTCAAGAAATTATTTATAGCTTTGTAGAATTTACAATGAATGCTTATTTATGGTGCAAATATAAGGTTGTATATTATAAAGAGAAATTGTATATAACTCACCTGAGCCAATTATAGTCAAATCTTAGGCATAATATATGTACATAGCTGCAACAACTAAAGTGCAACAATATGCTACAAACCTGTATTGTGAGCCCATTATAGGCAAATCTTATTTGCTTGTCATACAATATTAACATTCAACATGACATCAAATAATCAGTCAAACAAATGACAAAATTTCGCTATATTTACGGGCTAAATTTGAGTCCGCCGTGCATGCACGGCGTAATCCAACTAGTGTGTTCATATATGAAGTGTAGTTGTATATATATAGTAGTAAATACTAAGTAACCGTTGAAAAAAAACCATTAACTAGGTGTTCTATTATTATTATTATTATTATTATTATTATTATTATTATTATTATTATTATTATTTTCTTAAAAATAAAGGTGAAATCGGAATGAAGTCCCCAAAATTGTAATATATGTGAAAGTGAACATTGTTATGCTAATGTGCATTATCGAACATATTAATGTGCATTCTGACAATCCTTAATGTGCAATTTATTTAACACTAATGTGCATGTTGTGTACAAATTATTATTTTACCGAGTACCGTATCGAATGATTCGTTCCCCGGGTCGATCTCTCGAGGAAAGCGGTTCGAAATTCAGCTGTGGTATCGATTACACAGAAAAGAAAATAAATCCTAAACACTCTAATCAGATAAGGGGGTTTGAATAATTATCAACTAAGAAATAATAAAGAACATGAATCTACCTAAGAATATAAATGAAACGATGAAAAAAGAAGCTAGGGAGTCGGGGATACTTTATTCAAGTTCTATACGCAAAACCGGNAAAAAGCATGTTAATTGTTTCGCGATTTTCTTATTATAGCCGGAAAAGAAAAAAAAAATTGGCAGGAGTAAGATTTTTCGCCATGGATATGGTTTGTGATGAAGATAGAGAGGGATGAGGAGGAGGTGAGAGTGATAAAGATCTCATTAATGATAACGAGAGAGAGAGAGAGAGAAAAGAAGAAGAAGAAGAAGAAGAAGAAGAAGAAGAAGAAGAAGAAGAGATATGGAGAGAGACGCGTGATTTGGGAGAGAAAAGCTGATACATTTCCTTAAAAATAAATAATTAATGACTAAATTATTCCTTAACTGAAAAGTTTTCTGGTATATCTACAAATAAAAACATGATTTTATGTTGTATTGCTAATATTTACAATCAACATCACCATTACTTTTTTTGGACAATTAATTTTTTCTGAAACACCCGTGTAGTACACGAGCGTTATACTAGTAGATGTTTAATTGTGTAATAAAAACTAAAATGTATTGTGTAGGGGATAATTTTCTAAAAAAAATATATAATTAACTTCCAATCCCTGTGATGCTTGGAATATTAAAATAACATTTAAAATAAAATAATTAAAGTTGATTTGATGTAAAAGTAGGAGAGGGATGATTTGAAGTGATGGTTAGTTAGAATTATTGTGTACAAATTGTTATTTTTATCAAGTACTGAATCAAATGATTCGTTCTCCGGGTCGATCTCTCGAGGAAGGCGGTTTGGAATTTAGCTTTGGTATCGATTACACAGAAAAAGAAAATAAATTCTAAACACTCTAATCAGATTGAGGGTTTGAATAATTACCAACTAAGAAATAACTTAAAACAAAAATCTACCTAAAAATATAGACGAAACAAGGATGAAGAAGCTCGGGAGTCGGAGATAATTAATTCAATTTTTTTAGTAAAACCGACAATTAATCGTTCAGATCGAGATTGACACTCTTGCTTAAACATCTAGCTGTTCGCTCCCAATAACTCTTCGTAACAAGAGATTGAACATAAACGAGCAAGCTCGAGCATACAACACAAGCCAATTATCCCAATCCCAATAACTTTTCATAACAAGGGACGGGTCATTGACAAACACGTATTTCAATCCAAAATCTATAGACTATTCAATTACGAAATCATCTATCTTATGCAAGCCTAAGTCTATGGCTTCTCCCCTTTCGGTTCTAAAAGTCGCTAATTCAATTAGAAGTGTATTAATCAACTAAACATTTAGAATCATCAAAATCCAACTCGACAACTCAATATCCAATCGTTACCAATTGCAAGATCGAAATGTCACCCTTCGATTATATCAAACTATCAAGCACAAAGTCATCAATTCCGAATTAAGTCAACTCACATAAGCATGAACAAATCAAGGCCCAACAAATATAATTTAAACAGGAACAATCATCCCATATCCCTAGCAATAAGAATTAGCTACGTATGATAAATTCAACACAATTAATCATCTCTCCTAAATCAACCATTTTCATGAATTAAATAAGAGAGAAGAACTTACAATCAATCCAATTCCAAGTGTTGAATTCAAATTACAAGCTTAATTCCTAAATAATAATAAGAAGAAGAAGAAAAATGGAAAAGATGGATAAAGAGAAGAGGAAAAATGAAGAAGAAGAAGAAGAAGGAAGGAAAAGAGAAGAAAAGAGTGTTCGTGGAGTTTTTCGATCCTAGGGTTTTCACCCCCGGAAGGAGCGTGATAATTCTGTGAAGTCCCGTGCATGCATATATAGGCAATGGAAAGCAGGTCACGGCGTGGAGAACTTCAGGCGCGGCGTGGAGAGGGAGGATGCCGTGGCGCGGCGCACTGGCGCGGTGATGAAGATGTGGTCATCGACCCTTGCGAGCCCGAGGACGAGACCTATGATGGCCTAGGGAAAAGGCGCGAGAATAGGCAATGAAAGGCCCGAGGGAATGGAAAAAGGGTGCGTACACGCACTAAGAGACGCGCATCGGTAGTGCACGGCAACCGAGACGCAAGGCGCGCGGGACTAGGCCGTGTGAAGAAGGCCTACGCAATGGGAAGTGCGTGCGAAGACGCGCAATGGGCTGGCGATGAGTGCGAGGCAGTAATGCCGGGCAAGGTGGGCGAGTGGTGCAAGGCGCGCGCGAGGGAATGACGCGCACGACACGTGAAGGCTAAGGCGGACGGTGCACGAGGGGTGGATGTAGGGTGGACAGCGTGCATGTGGGGCGGCTGCGACGAGACAGACGCACGAGTAATGGCGAGCGCAATGAAGTGCGCGGTGATCGGGCGCGAGCAGGGCGCGATGGTGGAGACACGCGCGAGGCGATGGGCGAGCGTGAGAGAGAGGCCGAGCGAGGCACTCGCGCAAAGGACGAGCACGCGCGGGTAGCGGAGCGAGGGCGCGCAGCGCGCATGAAGGGCGACGCGTGGGAGGCGCGCGCGCGCAAGAAGGACTAGGGCTAGCGGGCGGCGCAAACACGCGGGCGGTTGGGCGCGACCGACTTGTGAGGCAAGCAAGGGAGATTGAGGCAAGATTTACTTAGCATCTTTAGGAGATTTAGTATGGTTAGGATTTTAAATAAAAGGTATGTGTCTATTAGTATTTTATTTGCATGGAAAGTCTTGATTTGCAAGACATTTAGTTTCCTTAAGATTTTATTCTCTTTCATTATTTAGTATTTTAGTTGGAGTAGGACTAGATTTATTTGGCATCTATAAATACCCATGTACTCTTAGTATTTGATATGAATTGATGAGTTAATAGAAAATCGAACGTTTTGTTCAAAGTTCTCGTGTGTTTTCTCTTGTGAGTTTACATAGAGTTCGTAATAGAAATAGGACCAACATCCGAGTTTCGTCACACCTATCGTGAAGTACGAAGGTGTCGGCACGCGTATTAGCAACCTATCGCTTAGAAACCAAGGCGTCGGCGCGGGGTTCGAAGCATTCGAGTTGGACGGAACACACGATCCTTCATCAATGGTGCTTTCATTGAGAGTGATTGATCGTGTATTAAGTTAAACTTTTCCTTCCTATTTCTATTTTTCCCTTCTTTCAAATTTTTTATTTTTTTTCGTGAGTATAAAAAAAAAAAATAATAAATAAAGAGAGATGATGACACACAAAGAGAGGATCGAGACGTTGGAGGAAAGTTTGAAATCCATCGGCAATGGCCAACACGTCGTCAATGAAAATTTCGCCAAACTTGAGCTCATGGTACACGACCTCGCCGGGCAGCTCACATGCATCACGCGTCGACCGCGAAGGAGCCACACCTCGCGATCGACCACGGCCTCGAGCAGCCCCGAGACCGACCACGACGACAATGACCATCGATCCAGGAGGACGCGCGCATCACACGTGACACGCCAACCCGACGACCGAGAACATGTGCGACCGAAGCTCACAATGCCTATGTTTACGGGGACTGACCCGGATGCGTGGTTAAGTCGAGCCATGCAATTTTTCGAGATCAACAACGTGCATAAGTCCGAGAGAGTCAAGATTGCCGCTTACTATCTCGATGGTGAAGCAAACACATGGTGGCAATGGGTGTCACATGTATACAAGAGCAAAGGCGAGCACATTCGATAGAGAGACTTTGAGAAGTAATTGGTCACGCGTTTCGGGACGAGTGATTATTACGATTATGATGACGCTCTCCCGAATACGTCAAAGCGGTAGCCTCCGAGACTACCAAAAGGAGTTTGAACGCATTGCTAGTCGGGTGCGAGATTGGCCCGAGAGCGCATTGGTAGGCGCGTTCATTGAAGGGCCCAAAGCCGAGCTAGCGGCTGAGGTGCGACTTGATAGGCCGCGGACAACCCGAGCGGCAATGGAGTCGGCACGCTTACATGAGGATCACCTGGTGGCGGTACGCAAGGCTAACCGAGGCGAGGGCCGCACGGACGCACGGCGCGCAAGCACGGCCGTCGACGAGACGCCCCCACGGGCCGACACCAAACCAACTGACAATGGCTCACAGACCACGAGCCACATGCGACGACTTATTACCGAGGAGATCCAACGAAGGCGTGAGAAAGGATTATGCTTTACTTGCAACGAGAAGTTCACGCCGGGACATAGATGTACGGAAAAGCAAGTGTTCTTACTTGAGTTTGGCGAGAATGAACCGGAACGAGAGAAGTACGGGTACAAGGAACGAGAGGAGACCTTGCTTCATGTGATTAAAAGCAAGAAGAGAGGTCCGAAGATGATACGGTTCACGGCCACCGTACAAGGCGAGGAGCTCGAGGTGCTAGTGGACAACGGGTCAACCCTAAATTTCATAGACGAGGAGTTGTCCAAAGGGTTGAAGACACCGATGACAAGCATAAAGCAATTTGGGGTAAAAGTTGTAAATGGAAAGGAACTCAAGAGTTCCAAGTTGTTCAAGAAGGTTCCGAAATATGCACAAGGTCAAGACTTAAAAGTTAATCTCTACGCCTTACCTTTGATGGGACCGAACATAGTACTTGGAGTACAATGGCTCGAGACATTAGGGCCTATCACGACAGACTACAAGAAGGGCACAATGGAGTTTGGACGAGCCCGAAAGCGAATTAAGTTACAAACTGAGGATCCAGGAGAAGAGCCAGAAGAAGATGAGGAGATCAATTTCATCATCCTTGAGGACAAGGAAATTCTCGAAAAGGGCAAGAATGATGAAGATGTGGTCATCGACCCTTGTGAGCCCGAGGACGAGACCTATGATGGCCTAGGGAAAAGGCGCGAGAATAGGCAAGGAAAGTAGGGGTGGGCACGGTCCGGGACGGTCCGGGATTGGACCTGTCTCGGTACCTGTCCCGGTTTTTTGAACCGGTCCGGGACGACACCTTGTCCCAAACGGAACGGTATCAATCGGGACCGGGACGAAACGGTTCGGGACCGGGACAAAACCGAAAAAAAATGTTCAAAAATCAAACTTCAAACTAAACTATTCTCTGTTGGTCTGTTTGGCTGTTTCACTTAAAAAAAATGTTAATTGAATTGAGAATTTGGGAATTTGGATTCTGTAGTCTGTGCGTTGTGCCCGTAAATATAAATGTTAATGACTTAATGTGTATTACTTTATTACTTAATGTTTTCTTTTTTCGGGCTAATTGTCTTAACAGTTAACAGACAGAAGTGAATTGGGCTTTCCTTTCATTAATAAAAAAAAGCCTGTTAAGATTTTTGTACAAAAAAAAGCCTGTTAAGATTTCAATAATAAATATAAATTAATGTATAATATATATATATATATATATATAATATTTTTGTACAAAAAAAATAAAACGGGACAAACGGGACGGTTCGGGAAAAAAATAATAAAAACCGATACCGACATTGTTTCAACCGGTTCGGGACCGGGACCGGGACGACATTTTAAAAACCGATTGGAACCCTATTTTTTCGGAACGGGACCATTTCGGTCCGGTTCGGGATCAGGAAATCCGGTATTTTTGCCCACCCCTAAAGGAAAGGCCCGAGGGAATGGAAAAAGGGTGCGTACATGCACTAAAAGACGCGCACCACACGACAACCGAGACGCGAGGCCGTGTGAAGAAGGCCTACGCAACGGGAAGTGCACGCGAAGACGCACAATGGGCTGACGATGAGTGCGAGGCAGTAGTGTCGGGCAAGGTGGGTGAGTGGTGCAAGGCGTGCGCGAGGGAACGACGCGCACGATGCGTGAAGGCTAAGGCGGACGGTGCACGTGGGGTGGATGTAGGGTAGACAATGTTCACGTGGGGCGGCTGCAACGAGACGAACGCATGAGTAATGGCAAGCGCAATGAAGTGCGCGGTGATAGGCGCGAGCAGGGCGTGATGGGTGGAGACACGTGCGAGGCGATGGGCGAGCGCGAGAGAGAGGCCGAGCGAGCTGGCGTGCGAGGCACTCGCGCGAAGAATGAGCACGTGCGGGCAGCGGAGCCAGGGCGCGCAGCGCGCATGTGTGGGAGGTGCGCGCGCGTGATACTGCGCGCAAGAAGGACTAGGGCTAGCAGGCGGCGCGAACACGCGGGCGGTTGGGCGCGACCGGCTTGCGAGGCAAGCAAAAGAGATTGGGGCAAGATTTACTTAGCATCTTTAGGAGTTTTAGTATGGTTAGGATTTTAAATAAAAGTCATGTGCCTATTAGTATTTTGTTTGCATGGAAAGTCTTGATTTGTAAGACATTTAGTTTCCTTTGGATTTTATTATCTTTCATGATTTAGTATTTTAGTTGGAGTAGGACTAGATTTATTTGGCATCTATAAATACCCATGTACTCTTAGTATTTGATATGAATTGATGAGTTAATAGAAAATCAAACGTTTTGTTCAAAGGTCTCGTGTGTTTTCTCTCGTGAGTTTACATAGAGTTCGTGATAGAAATAGGACCAACATCCGAGTTTCGTCACACCTATCGCGAAGTACGAAGGCGTCGGCGCGGGGTTCGAAGCATTCGAGTTGGACGGAACACACGATCCTTCATCACGCGGGGCTGCTGGCTCAGCTGTGTGACTTTGCGTTTCAGGCTCGTTTGGGCTCGTCCGAACTCGGAATTGAGTTCCGTTTTTCCTTATGAGTTGCTAACGAACCCCTCTATTCAATGATGCTTCATGACCCAATTATTTTTTAAATCATATTCTCCCAAAGCTCTTGACCTACACACTGAACGTGTTTCATGCGACTTTGCTTTTTGGGCCCATTCGGACTCGTCCAAACTCAAAATTGAGTTCCACTTCTTCTTATATGTCGCCAACGAACCCGTCTACACAACCATGATTACTCGGTCAATTTTCGGGCTAAACCTATTCTTTGCGGGGCTTCCGACCTGCACACTAAAAACAAGAAGAAAAACTGGAAAAACACACGAAACACATAGAAGACCAAAATAGAGTAAAACACACAATAAACTACAAATACGACTAAAAACCAGCGAAAAGAGCTAAAACGGGTGAAAAAGTGAAGCAAAACAATAAGGAAAAACGTACAAAAATGGGACAAACAAGAATTATGTGAGTGATGAATAGTGAATTAAAGTTGATGTTATTTGTAAGAATGATTGATTGATATTATTTAATTATATTGATAATATTGATGATAGTAGAGTGAAGTTAAAATTTAATTAAAAAATAGTTCAATTAAAAATGTTTGATTTTTTTGGGTACATTTGTATGCAAGCATCCTCTAAAACCCTCCCACTCAAACCAAACGGGCCCAAAAGACGTTTGTTACAGTCTTACAGAATTGAACAAACCCGCCCAAGGAGTCCTCACCAAACCCAGCCAGTGTTCTTGTTAAGTAAAAACCCGTCCATCGCCGGAGCTCCGCCAAACCACCACCAATCCTTGGGCACAAAAAGAAAAATCAGCTCGGAAAAATGGGAACTTCGGTTCAGGTCAAGCCGCTGTGTGGAGTATACAACGAGAATCCCCTTTCGTATTTAGTCTCAGTCGACGGCTTCAATTTTCTCATAGATTGTGGCTGGAACGACCATTTTGATGTCTCTCTGCTTGAGTCTCTCTCCAGGTTTCCTATTAATTCAATTTTTAATTTTTTTTGGCTAAATTTGTTTACATTATTGCGCCATTGTTGGAGTGGAAGAATTATCATGTATATGCCCCGTTTTAGTCCCCAAGTACGACTTGAACTTGCGCTGCTGCCTGCGCTTTCTGCTCGGATGGTCTGGTTAAGCTTAGCTAATATGTTGAATGTGCTTAGGCAGTGTTTTCAATCACTATAGAAATGCAATTTTCAGCTTCTGTTTAGAAACATGTGAAGTTTTTGGTATTTTCAAATGTCAACTTCTGCCTCTAGTACAGACTGATTCTACTTATCCACAAGCAAGTGGGCAATTTTACAGCTTAGCGTAACACGTTTTAGATGTAATCCACTTTTCAAAACCTGATTGTTGAATTCCACTCATTTCACACTTGGGCTTGTGAAGATTTAAATCCATTGCAAGTTTTATTTTTTTCTCAAGCTTTTGTATAGTTGATAACCAAAAATAAATTTATAAATTTGTGGCATTTGTATCTTCTTTAATTTGTAGTGTATGTGAAATATGTGATGTAGGTGAGTTCCGAATTGTGTGCAGTGTGTTTCTCTGTGTGAAATGTGTGTAGTTTGTGCTTCTGCTTGGTGTATGTTCTGGAAGTATGAATTGTATGTAGTGTGTGTATAAGCATGAAATGTGCGTTGTGTGTATGAGAGTAAGACGCTGACTCTGTGTAACTGGGTATGTAGAAAGCAGACGGATGGAATTTCAAATGACTGGTGTATGGTGGATTTTAACTCTTAAAAAAGAAAAAACAAAAAACAAAAAAACAAAAAAACCAAACAGAGAAGAAATTTGAATTGCATTGCTTTGAGTAGGGTGGATTTGACAATGGACTTCAAATGTCCTCAAACCGTCTNATTATCTGCACCAATTCCTGTTTCTCAACCCCTTCTAATTTGTGTTGCAATGTATCACTTCTCAAAACTAAATCTTTTTGCAAACAATCCCTTAGACAGGTACATCTGTTCATGACTTTCTCCAAATTCGCTTATCATTTGTCTAGGACTTTCTGGTAGAGGGATAATTTATTTTTGGAAATTGATGTACTATATACAAATGCATGTTTTGACCCAAAACTAAGTAGAGAAACATTATGAGTTAAATACTTATAAGCTGCCTTGCTGATCAGGGTCGCTTCAACTGTGGATGCTGTCTTATTGTCTCATCCTGACACACTTCATCTTGGTGCTTTACCCTATGCAATGAAGAAACTTGGACTTTCTGCTCCTGTTTTTGCCACTGAACCTGTGTTCAGATTGGGCTGCCTGACCATGTATGATCACTATCTGTCACGGAAGGTGAATTTCTCTTATGAAAGTTTGAAAATAAGTGGTTTTTCTTTTCACGTTTGTTCCATTCGGCTGCTGATATATTGTTGTAGACATTCAGGCATCTGGAAGTGATTTAGCTTATTTGAGTTACTTTTAAATTGATTAAAATGTGATTAGTTACGATGGGGAGAGTGGTCACTGCTCAATTCTTGAAGCAGTAAAAGCAGTTTTAGTTATTATAAAAAAGTTGAGTACCTGATTTTCAAAAGAATTGCTTTTATACTTATTTTATGTAAATGATGGATGGTTTCCTTGCTATGGTCACATATGGCATTATTATACGTTTTGAAGGAAGAGGATAGGACTGCACTTAAAGCTATAACAGATAGACTGATTTGTGTTGCCAGTATGATTATTGACCTAATTGCATATCCCCACACGTAATTAGCTTTGGAATTTTGGTAAAATGTCCTTTTTTAGAATAAGCGGTTCAAATCACTGATGCAGTTTCATTCTCAGTTTTATGTGAGTTTTTGTAGAAGATGGAATGTTATTTCTCCTTAGCCTGTATTATTTTGTTAATCCACTCTTCGCAGCAAGTATCTGAGTTTGATCTGTTTACGCTGGATGATATTGATTCGGCGTTCCAAAGTATTACCAGATTGACCTATTCTCAGAATTATTATATGTCTGGTAAGTTCCTTTTCTTATTTGCTATGTTTTCTAAATTTCAGAAAGGAGAGTTTAGTCTGCTCGAGCATTTTTCTTTTCTGGAGGCAAAGAAGAGTTT